CAAAGAAAGATTTCCAGGGATGCTTCCAGGCTTGGCAGTGGCGCTGGGATCGTTGTGTTCACTCCCAGGGGAACTACTTCGAGGGTGATGGATGAATTTAATACCTGAGATAAGTGTACTAGTTTTTATACGCGCAGTCTGTAAACTTTCCGATCGCACCTCGTATATAAGAAACAACAATTACGTAATGGAATCGATTAGTTGTGATATGGTAGATGTTGGGTGACGTCTCGATAGCTTCAAGCACCTGACGTGTATGTTCCTTTCTGGATAACTCTGTCGCACAGTGGATAAATTCTGCAATACTGAATTTAATATCGCTGATAAATAGCTGTCAAATGATCTGTGCATTTAGCTCACGCTGGAGAATACTGTGCCTTGTTGCCGGAAGGGACCTGTGTCTCTCTGTGTGTGGGACTGATAAGTGCGATCTCACGTCTGGCCTTGGCCACTGTCGCTAAAACGGAAATCGTGATTGCGAACTTATGTAACGAATTTATGTGGTGTAGCGTTTTCGTTAAAAGGCTTATAGAGCTGATCAAGAAATATTTATGGTACCTGAAGGTTCATTATCGTATGGTATGCCGAATAATATATTATTTTAGTATTGTGTGTGTATATGAGTGCATTTACTATGTTATTATCCTTCATAATTTGTTAGGATTTTCATTTGTATATTTTTGTGACGTACATTACAGTTTTTAGAAAATGTTAACGCATTTCGAACGTTTTACGAACGAGTGAGACGAATGACAATAACAACAGACGAAACTGAGACTAAAATCTGCCGTTCGTAAAGAGTCCAGTTTGTAAGAAATATTTAATAAATATGAGAAAATAAAGTTGGAAACAAAATGGAACTCATAATTAAAATACAAGAAATTATATTTCCCGACAGGTGACATTAAAATGTAATAGGGCTACTAGTCTATAGTATAAACGAACTTCAAGTTTTTCTCGCGCAACTTGCCAGCACTTTCTATGTTATGAACAATATACATCGTTTTGAAACACCTTTGGGTTCGGACAATGCTAAAAACGAAACACAAAAATGGACAGAACACAAGATGATCTTCAGTTACGTTACAGCTTACAGAATACCTGGTAGTCATATAAATTGATTATACATGCCTGTAGATATTTATGTCTACCAGTATTACAGTTTGAACTTGTGAACCGGGCTAACCCTACTTGTGTTCGATGGCTACAGGGCCGTGACCACTTATGTCTATCTAATTTACCCTCCTCAGCAACTGTAGCAACTAAGCATTGCGCATGGTCGTCTCTGCATGTGCGTCATTAACCAGAGCTAACAAAATTTATGGGTTCCAGTTTAAGAATGTTTGGAGCTTCTCATCCGACTCCGTATGCATTTTATGTCACAGTCCTTACGGCTTACGCCCAAACACATTTCCACTTTTCACGCCCCCAGCGTTCTTGCCGGGAAAGTTAAGAACAGAAAGGAAATATATATCGAGGGCACCAAGCTAAAGGAACTTACCTACCTATTTGCATAAACTGATGCTGTTATACACAAAGGTACAGTTATATTACGGCATACGGACACTGATAATGTTCATTTGTAAAACAAAATAAAGGTAAGGATTCAATCTGCTGTAATTCAGTAATTTTGTTCATATTCCCGTGTGACATGTTGCCCTCGATATTCAGCCACGCAAGAATTTAACTCACAGGAGAGTCGAAGAGAGTGCTGACTCTGTTATGAACGTCATGGAGACGTTTGGGGCGAACTAGTAGGTAGACTGTTGTAATCTCGGGACAGGCCCGAAGCAGTTTCTCGAGCAGCACTGCACCCAAGAATCCTGTGCCTCCGGTAATGAACACAGTCCGTCCCGCGAAGAATTCCTGGATTCCTGGAGTAATTTCATTTAATGATCTTCTGCCATTCATTTTGTACTGGCAGTTATCTGTAACATTTTTCAGTAAACACACACAATGCATTTCTTTCATTCAGAATTTGTCCTGTACTTGAATAGTTTAGAGAGAAGGCCTGGAGATGAAGCTCCATGCATTCTAAACCTCAGCAATAGCAACAGGCCCACACGCCGTTTGTTCGGTTCGCCAGGTGTTGGCCAGCTAGTTGAGGCTTACGGTTAACGCTTCTGCTGTGTACCACTGGACCACAAAAGTAAGACAGAATATCAAATCTAAAAGTTCGTGACGATGGCGAGTCATTTGAATAAAAATTTCCTTGGATATTTTCCATCGTCTAGGAAAACAATAAAATAGAAAACGACGTTTCGGAGATGGGGCTCTATCTCCGTCTTCAGGTACCTACTCTGTTGGGCCCAATAGATATCTCCGGACCATCCTCGACGATGGTCCGGAGATAGGGATTAGCTCTATCTATTTGGCCCAACAGAGTAGGTACCTGAAGACGGAGATAGAGCCCCATCTCCGAAACGTCGTTTTCTATTTTATTATTTTCTTAGACGATGGAAAATATCCAAGGAAATTTTTATTCATAGTACAGAATACTTTACTTTTCGTGTTTTAAGGTGTTGGCTTGGCTATCGCGGCCAGCACAGTTATCGTGAATGCTCCACTTCTGTTCAGTAAAGATCCGTATTAGCTCAGTAAAGTTACATTCATCTTCGTTCTCAGTAGGTGTTTTACCACTCTCACTTCGGCACGACATTTAATAATGAGGTTAAGCATGAGTGAAGCTTCGCCTCCTAACCCTTGAACGATTTCATGATCAGCGGTTACGCACAGACACAGCTTCGATATTGCATGATTAAGTTTAATAAATCCTTTCGTCTGGTTTCCAAGGTAATTTGTTGCCGCTGGCTTGAAATGTCGTGAGATGGCATAGAACCTTTTGTTTTTATTACCAAATGCGGAATTGCTCAAAGCAGAAATGTACGATGTTTCCAAAGTGTATATATCTTCGTGGAATGATAAGAATTAGTATAGCCCGAAGGTTCAGTACGAAGGTCTGCCATTGGACCCATCTTACGTCAGTTCACACAAGGTGGTTCAACCTATTTCTTCCTTCTGGCCAAGAATAGTTTTTCCTTGGACCGAAGGGCCAAGAAACCCCTCCTGCTACTATTTTTAGAAACTACTAGCCAATTTTCATTATCCTAAACACTTATACAGAAATGATAAATTCAATAACGCATATAATTTTTATTTAACATGCCCAGATTACTATTGAATTGCATATTGTTCTGATTTACTCCTGTGCCTTTTTATATCTATCATAAATATTAAATGGAAAACACATTTTACGGCAGGGTTTTGAAGTGTGGCACTTGTATATAAAGCAGCATACGAGATAAGAATCACGACGTTTTATTTTTCGGATAAAATAAAATAAATGAGCTTGTTTCAACTGGTAATAAATTTAAAAATTTATTTCGCTGATTGTGCTATGTATAAATGCTCTCGAGCCAGATGTGGCCAGTATTACCATGCTGATTCACACCATCACAACTCTACCCCTTAAAATCAGTTTGAATATTATATTCACATTTTCTTCTCTCTCTCTCTCTATAATGCCTGTTGTTACGCTTACTTAATTAAGTTAATGAGATGGAGACTTACTTACAGTTCTGACAACCTCTTGGGGAGACACATAAGCTAAGTTCCAAGATGTTCTTTACCCTTTGATTGCTACTTATCGCTCTGGCATTTCTTCGACTGATGTTTCGTATGCAATTTCAGACGTACTCAGAACAAACACACTATCATATTAACGTTTCTGAAAACATGAACTGTTTGTCCATCATGTATCTTCATTTGAGGCAGGACATTATTTGTTGCTGTAAGTAATGTTCCGGTAGTGTATTTCTGTCGTCCTATATATACAGAAAAGTAACGGAGTTTTAATATAGGCTAAACGGTTCTTCATGTGTCACGATAAATGAAACGTCATTCCAGTTGTGGAAACTTAGCGAAAGTTTGACCGCGACGAAAGCTTGAGGTATTGCGGGATGAATACAAGGAATGGGACTTTGTGTTACAGCTTGGGCTCAAAATTATCAATGCTTGTGAGACCGATATTATGATTGCGGAGTTATCAACACTTTATCGCCTGCAGAAGTTTGTTGCGGAACATGTGTAAAAAAACTTGCTGTTGGAGAACTGATGTACGTGGCCCAAATAAGGGCACCTGAAGATTCAGAACATTTGTAATTTTTCCTACTTAAGAGGAAGTGCTGCAACTTCGAGGAATGTCTTCTTGATTGGATTGGGAATGAAGTAATATGATTGGCTTTTAGATGAAATAAGTCTGGGAGACTGGAGGAACTTAAAAGTGTAAGGGTGGAAAGTGCCCGTATTAGGAACTCCATGATCTATTTATGGGCACATTTCAGAGTCCGAAAGAGTAGGTTTTCTTTTTAACGGGACAAACTAATGAAATTGTGTTTTATTAGGTTATATAAACTGTTCATATGCACAAAGAAAAAGTGTAATTGAAAGAAATATTATGTACTTGACATTTCCTTAAACTGCAGTAACAGCTACTCGAAGGTTATTCTCCGATCATTGTCCTCTCTGTTTTGGTTTTATTTTTGAAACAGTTATTCTCTACTTCTTAGAAACTTTCCCGCGGTAAGAATATATTCAGCAAGACGGTGCCCGTATTTGGTACTCTGTGCATATACTCGAAATTTTGTTAACAGAAACCTTTCAGTAAAACTAAGTTGTATTATCGAAACGTACACTAAGTCACCTCTGATATTATGCGCAGTAACACGTATTTCATTCTCGTTTTGTAGTTAGAAAAAAGCAAATTTCATTTACCGTAATATTTAGCATCGCCTTCCTACTCACCCCACGATTCTAACTGTTCACAAGCTCGTCTTGATACGCTCTGCCAATGACCACAACTCCTAATGCTGTGGTCTCGATCTGTTTGCACGTCTGAACGAATCCTGGTGCATTTCATGGTCAAAACAGTTTCTTTTTCTCAGGGATGGCGAAAAGGACATTGCCGTTATTTGGCCCATTTACCAAAATTAAGGAAAAATGGAAGGATGATGATCCTCTGCAAGTCGTATGTCCTTCTGTAGTCGGCGAAGAGTTTGAAAATTGCTGTTATCTACGCTTCGTTAGTCTCGCATAAATTAGCCGACGTTTCGGAGCTGCTTACTGCCACCATGATCAAAGCGATGATATCCATCTGTTCGAATACAATATATTGAGAATGACTGGACAGGTTCTTTTATTCAATTTGAAGTGACGCCGTTACTGATATTTGTCTGCTGTTACATGTTGTCGTTGAAGAATATTTCACACTTACAGGGCCGTGCTCCGACTGTGCTCCGACCGTGTCCTGCAGCTAGCATGCACACTACAGGACAGTGCTGACCGCGCTCTAGTCGTCCATGGATCGATTGAAAAATATGTACTTCGTGTCTTTTACTTGGCGACACGGTAGAAGCACGGTCCGAACACAGTCCTGTAATAAAACACCGTCCCACTGTGTAATTCAAATGGAAGTAACACCATCGCGATTTTCAGTGACACGACACGGTAGGCCTGTAGTCCTGTAAGTGTGAAATAGCCTTAAGGATATCATCGGCTGTGATGTGGGTCATGTCAGTCTGTGGGCATGTAATGTCTTGAGAATGACTGTGAGTATTTTCATGAATTTGTTGTGGGCGCTGACGCAAGGAAACTGAACCAATAGGACTAATTTGTCCAGGTACAGAGGAGATCCATGGTTCTAAGTGAGCACGGAAAGCGTTAATATGAACCCAAATTGAATGCACTTCAACATTTACTCAAAGGAAATATTCATTTCGATTACTCAAATGTTTGGTGTTCCTGTTGTTTTCAAATTATTTTGTGTATCAGTAAATCCTTTTTTGTATGTGTGTGAAAACACGTTTTGCAGCGGCTGGAGCTTGTGGTTGCTGTTCTGTCGTTCCAATAGATAGCAAGCGAATGAATGAATCACGCCGTCGACGGAGTTGCCGCCTCTTCATTAGTATAGCTTTCATCCGTTTGAGCCCGCCACCTTAGTAGCAGGTCGTCTGCTACACCCTGACAACAGCAATTAATAATGTTGTGAACTTTGAACAAAAATAAATTGTTATTGTTTTGGTGGTACATGTAAGGTATGCTTAGAATTACTTAATATACACTAATATCAGTTAGCAGTTTATATCTTATCAGTGATTTAAATATGAAGTAATCCCACAGTTTAATTTTTTTTATCAAGATAGAGTTATTCAGTGATGAGCCGTATTGATTATAGTTTTTTTGCCTTTATAAAATGTTGGGACCAAGGTTTTATATTCTGATAAAATTCGAAATCAGATGTGAATGCACATGTGCCCAGATAAATTGATCTTAGTGCAATTCGTTGCGTGTTTGTTTTCGCAGTTGCCAAACATGGCTGCCGTTGGTCAAGGAGGCAGTGAAATTATGAAGTTTTCATTGATTTTTGGGGTATTATAGTCGTTTAACGAAAGTGCTGTTGTATTACTTGTGTGCTATTCTGAATATAATTATATGTGAGGATGAATTACAATCTGTAAGTATGGTATAAAATTTAATTATTTTAGCTTAATTTGCCCCATTTTCCTGCAGAAGCCTGCCAAGACCGACGAAGCCTAGATTGGTATGGCTTCTTAGTATTTAATTCCTATATATAATAATACTAAAGTAGCAAGTTCATATTCCTTCCCAACGAAATACAACGTAGTCTTAACACTTATTCATGCTGCATCATAATAGTTTGTTAGCAGTGGTTTTGTGGCATAAGGCAGTGGCACACCCTTCCACAAAGTTACTAAATATGGAATAAGCAGTTTAGGAATTGGTTTAGAATTATGGAGTGAACATATGTAATACAGGATGAAATTACTAGCCATGAATTTGTATAGAGAATAGAAATTCATTTACTGATGAACTGTTGATGTAAACCCAAAGTTCTTTTGCAATTTTACCTCTGACCACAAGATTTCTGCAGTCTTATTTTGCTCATAGTGAGAAAATAACTGTGTGTTCCATAGGCTTTCATACTTTGAAGTAAAAGTGTGTTTTATCTCAAAGTATTATGCAAAATTGTCAATACAGTATACTCTACAGTAAATGCTTTGAAGTCCAGTGGTAATTACATATATCACCTACTTAAACAGTTTGTAACTCTGTATTTTGCCTGCAGAGTAAATTATTGTTATTCCAATGATTCTCATAATAAACAGTGATCTGCTAATGTTTGTCATTAATTGAAGAGGACTTTTGCATTTTACTGTGGCATACACAGAGAGTTCATGTAGGCTATGCTGTACTCAGAACTAGTGTTTAAGTAGTTAGTCATTATGAGACATTGCAGACACACTGAGAATTCTCTTTGAAACATTAGATCAGACCCACTTCTCTTATTCAAAGGGGACTGCAGGGTTCTTCTTTCCTTAGATATAGATGGTTTGAAGAGTTAAGTTGGTCATTCACCTTTTACTCAGACAGATGTGTTTGTGCGCAATTCCTACATATGACCTTAGGAAGGAGTTAGTTGCCTTTTAACAATAATAGGTGGTTTTTGTTAAAACTGTAATCATTACTGTTTATTTTCCAATAATCCATGCTACCTATGCTATTCTTTTTTCAATGTACTTACCACTTCATTCAATATCCACTTTTAATGATTGCATTTTTGTAAGTATTGTTGAGGTTGGGCTTTGCAGCAGAGATTTATAATGAACAGTGTGTGAGTTACTTGCACTTCAAGAAGAAACTAGTTGGTTTAGAAACAACTAAACTATACCAACCTGATTTCATTTAACTTGATGTTTGAATATTTCAGTGTGTTCCCATTGAATGGGCCCATAATATGTTCTTCACTCACACATGAAGAACACTTGAAAAGTGTTATTCTGTGCATGCCAGTGTTGGTATGACTTTTGGATGGTTTACTAGAAATTTTCATATACAGTGGTCTCTCAGTTAACAGTAATAATTGGTTCCACAAAAACCATCATTAATTTAAATTATTTTTAATTTAATGTAGGGAATATGTTTTAAATATGTGTGAACTTTCAATGTGCAGGATTGTTGATTCTGTTTCTTTCAAGAAATCTTTTTGGCACTCTTAAGACAGAAACAGTATTTATTAATATTCCACACCATTTAAATTTGCTATATTGTGTTACTATTAGACTGTCATTAGTACATTGTACAGGAAGTTTCTAGACAGCCCAACCATGACGCAAACTTATTCATTATGAGTTGGCATGACTTTATTGGAAGAGTATCCAGCTGCTATGCCTGAGGCCATGGTTGCAGTAAATCTCACTTTGTATCATCATGTTAATCATTGCAAGGGATATTTCATGCTTCTCCATTTTACAGTGTTAAATATGGCAAAGGGTAATTGACAGTATCTTTGAAACTCAGTTACCTCTCATTATTTTGTTTCCTAGTAGGGCTTCCAGAATAGATGTAGAAACCCAGGCCTCACCTGCATCCTACTCTTTGGATTTCTATGGGTATAAAAATGGTTCAGAATGCATATAAATTTTACTTTCATGTTATGGTACTCAGGCACAGGGATATATATTTTTTATCTTTATAGCTAAAATACAAAAACTGAATCTCCAACATTCTTTCTTTCTCTTTCGTAGTTGATTCTCTTCTACCTGCAGGTGTCGAGGCTTGTTTTTTCACTTAATCTATTGGACATTTGGTATGACTCCTTGGGCAAGTGATCAGCCACAGTCCCAATATCCAAGCACACAAGGCCCGCGCCTCAGACCGCACGGCCACTGTGGCCAGCAATCTCCATTATTCAAAATCTAAAAGTCACTGCTTTTGCATTGTATCTTTCCAGATACTGTGCTATGCAATTTGTGAAAGTCTGTCATTACAGCTGTATAAGTGCAACAGAAGATTGTTGTACCTTTTTGACAGCCAGTGAATTGGATAGAACTGTGAGGTAATTTAGTCATATCTCAGCAGCACCTGTAGTTTCCAAACAGGTCCTCGCTTTGGGTCAGCTGGCCTCACAGAGCTTGCGATCAAAGCACACTGATGTTACGGGGTTTTATGTTTTTGGCTTATACTCCACAATAAACTGTAATGAAATTTAGTTGTATCTATGAAATTTGGAAATGTATTGATATCAATTAAACTGAATGTGTATGGATCAGGATATATAAAGTAATGTTGCCTGTTGTCTTGTACTTTGAAGGAAGAACGTGTTTTACAAGTGTTTGAAAACATGGTTTTCAAGAGGATATTTGTACCAAGGAGGGATGAAATAGGTGGGGAATTGGAACTGCATGAATTGTACAGGCCATCTAGCATAATGAGGATAGTGAAATCTAGGAGGCTGTGTTGGGCTGGGCATGAATCACGCATGGGAGAGGCAAGTGGTGCATACAGAATTGTGGTAGGGAATCCTTCTGGAAAACGACCACTGGGCAGACCAAGAAGGAGATGTGAGGATCACATCCAATATGGATCTTAGGGAGGTGGGCTGTGAGGATGGCAAATGGATGGAGTTGGCTCAGGATTGTGGCCGGTGGTGGGCTTTGGAGTTGTCAGTGTTGAACCTGCGGGCTCTGCTACCAGGGAGTTAGTTTGTGTATGGAATTTACATTTACACTTCCCACAGGGGGACGTATTTTGGTTAGGAAAGTAAATATATAAAATGTCTCCATAGGAGAGGCTAATTTATGTAAATAAATAGCAACAGAATTTCGCGAAGTATAGTTCAGGTTTAGTGTGAGTAGAAAAGTTCAGATGGAACAGTGGTGGGACTGAACCAGCAAATGGTTAAACATCGTTCTATGGAGGAAATGCCAGTCACTTAAGATAGGTGTTTTCGTTCAGAAGGAAGTCAGGTCACCAGTTAAAAAGCAGAATTTTTTATGGTAGGATGTATTTGATACCAAGTGGTTGTTGAAATATTAGTATTTTGAATGTGTAAGCCCCAAAAATCATTTACATCTTGCTGTTACATGTTTGACGAGAGGTACTGAGGAAAACTTCAGTCAGGATAGGTAGTCTGCAGGTGATGATTTTAAACCACAACCTCCCGAACACGAAACAGGAGTGCTAACCGCTCGGTCGCTGTTTTTTCTTCTTCGTCTTCTTCTTATGTTTGGTTCAGCTTCATGTGGCATCGATTCGAGCAGAAAAGTGTATCTGAAACTTATTTCGTTTTGTGTTAGAAC